GGGCGACACCCGTTTTCCTCGTTCAAAAATCAAATCAACCCATCCAACTTCGAGCTAACCTTTTGACAGATATGAATGCCGGGCTGGAGGCGAGTCGGTATACTCCCTCTGTGCAAAACTAAACGGGTGTAAATACCTCGCGAAGCTTGATTTAGTAGACGCCCACCTACAGGTTTCTGTCATGCTAGAACCTAAGAAGCTGTTGACGAATAACACGCCCAAAAAGCGGTCCCAATACAACCATCTTCGATTTGGACCGAAGGCTGATTTTACTATTTTTCAGCAGCTCAAGTGCAGAATTTTGGCTGATATTCTTGGTTCCGCCGCTTACTTGGATGATATTGTCGGTGGAACAAGAATTTCATTCCAAGCTGGAAAAGGTCCTCACGGATTTGTGAGCATGACTTCCGAGTCCACATTGGAATGTACATCGTCACCAAGTCGAAAAGCATGTGCATTGGTTTTATTATTGGCCATTCTGGTCGAGGGCCCGATCCTGGCATCGTAGTAACAATCAGAGCGATTCCACCACTGTCGGACTTACCGACTTCATAATCTTGGCTCTGTCCGATCATCACAGTGCGTTTTTGACAAAGCTTCATCGCACAAGAACCGCGTTTAATCGATTGTTGACTAAAAATGCTAAATGGAAATGAACGGCAAAATGTCAACGGTCTTTTGAAAGAATCAAAGTATTTCTTCTCTCAAATCTTCTTTGAGCGCATTTCGATGCTAAACTACCACTTTACGTGGCATCGGATGCATCTAATTAGGGCGACGGCGCCGCAACATCTCGATAGATCGAAAAAAGCATTCGTGCATGTGGCTCCCTCACATACTCTAGCCGAAATTAAATATTGCCAGTACGAAAACGAAGTCTGAGCCATTATCTTTTGAAGTACATAATTTTGACAAATGCATCTTAGTTCAACTTCCGTTCCACTGATGAATCAGAAGCTTCTTCAAAGTATATTTCAGTTGCAGTGGTGATCCATTACTTGTTTAGGGTACAAGTTTCTATTAAATGCTAAACAGTCACCCATTTTGGATCTCACACTGTGGTCGTTGCCGTTAAAGCGACCGCAAGGATCGAACTTCACCTGGGTTATCACCGACGCTATCCGAGTCCTCCCACTAGACATGGCTACAATTCAAAAGGCAACTAAACGCGACTACGCCCCACAAAATCTCATTAAATTTACCCAACCTGGCTGGCACAGAAAGAGCGTCAAACCGAAAGTTTTTCAGTGCGCTAATCGCCAGGAAGTACAACCATAATTTGGGGGTTCCATGTTGTTTGCTGAAAGGGTCGTTGTATCAGAAGTTTTTCAGGAAAGAATGATCAAACAGTTCCACGATGATCATTTGAATCTGGCCGCAGGAAATTATTTGCTAGAATGGCATGGGTATGGATTTCAGGGGTATTACCGTAAGTTCCCCCAAAGCATCTAGTCACCAATTATCCGCTAAAATATAAACCACACGATTCGCTTACGCCTGATGACCAGAAAAACGACTACACATGAAATTTGTAGGTCGATTAAATGGTCTAAATTACCTGATAATTTTAGTCACTTTTATGAAGTGGCAAGATAATTTAGAGGATCAAACCAGCTGCATATTTTTATCAGGACGCAGCAGGTCGCGCAATTCTGAGGTGTCTCGGACGTCGTAAGTGATAATTTTACACATACGACTAGTCGGTTAAATTGAGCACCTTTGGAGCAGTGCAGCTCTGGTGTTTAGGCTCAGGCTGTGTAGCAATATGATGGCATTGATAGAGGACGTATGGTCATCCATTTCTGTGTAAAAGATGCACACGTCTCCTCATCGCGTAATTGGTCTACTCGCTTTTGGATTTGATGGTCGGAAGTTATCAAGTGAACGCGTTCGCTGTAGATAAATTATTGAAAAACGCGAGCGGCCAGATTTGTGTTATACTGTGCTGTCATCCAGCGTTGATTTTGTACAACCGAAGCTATGAGAGTACCCGCGAGCATAGCAAAGCACCCACGCATTATGACAGGCGCCAACCCATATTCCGTTAGACGATACGTTTTGTCATCCCACTAGCAAACAAATTCCGCCACAACCTAGAAATACTGTGCCTCACTAAGCCGTGATTCGTCCCTTACCCCAGGACCCAGTGGCAGTACACCACTCGCAAGTAAGAAGTCCATGTACAATCAGGGTTTCAGTCTTTTTTTCCTGTGACTCCTCAAAAGAAGTGATTGCGAAATTCTCACTCAATGCACAGTGATCTTGTCGACACAAACGCAGAATACATCATGTACGTTGCCTAAAACTTACGAATTTATCCCTATGCACAGCACTTAAAGTTAAAAGTCCACCGCATGCAGATTCCTGAATATTCCCTGAGCATTTGACGACAGATCGCTGATTACCAGTAAAAAACCTCTACCTAAGAAGAACGGCGTCGTGCTGCGTTAGATGTCCACAAACCTGCACGTGCCAATTTTTGACACCTAAAACAACGCAAGGAACATGTACAGCAGTGTCAGCGTTATATCGGACCGTTTGGTTCCATGATTTTTCACGGGAACGGCAAACTCACAAAAACTGAGCAGCATGTTTTTCGTTACACGAATTGAAAAATCAGAATTCGAACCCCAAATGACTTTTTCACCCTTTAATTCTCCAGCCGGTTTCGTAACCCTTGTGGCCTGATTTCCAAAATACATCGAGGCAAAGACATTCCACTGCGTTTAAAATAAGAACCACCGTTTTAAAAGGAAGCCACACATGCACAACTGTACGAGAATGCCACCCCTAAAAGGCCTAATTTGTGAAGTGAGTAATGGAATCGCCCAGTTCTTAGCAGATTTAGGATGGGCATTTTGGCAAATCGGAAATTCATCTCGTTCATCTTATGACGCTATGACTCAATGAAGTGTATGCATCCCAATAACCTTTAACAGTTCTGTCAAAATTCGCCCACTTGCCAAACGTTTCATTCCCTTTCATCTGGACCCCTGACTTTTCACTGATGAGAAGGATGGAATCAGGCTGATCACGTGGGTTAGGTTTATTCAGCTTTTGTGTATGAGCAACGTCAGCTGAAATTCGCATCAAAACCACAGAAAGCATGTTGGTGATGAACGTGAACCAAGATCGTTTTTCTGTATGGCGCGAGTAATGGGAGATTCTCAGAGAAAACCCAACTGAAAACTGGAGGATTCGCGTACATTCAGAGGGGTAAGCATTGTATTCAGCAACTCATTATAGATCGTCATGACACCAAAGAGACAATAACACCCTTGTTCTGGCTGCGGAGTGACAATTATTTAACGCAATAGTTAATCTGCGCATGCTGTCGGTAAATATGGCCAGTGTGATCTCGGGGTGATATCACAGTTTGTCCGGGAAGACTCAACCTATTCTCATAAAAGGTGTATGCTTTTGGTAAATTTTTGAACTACTACAAGAAAAGTTGTGTTCTGAGAGCATTAACTGCTATAAAGTTTGTGCTAATTGGTGGAGAGTGATGAGCCTCCCTAATGTGGTAATTGCCGTCTCCTACGCCTCGTGAGTTTCCAATAAACATACTCCCCTATAGGTTCACACAAGCACAGAAATACCAATACAACTTTAGTTCATCTTCATTCTAACGAGCTTATTGTAGCCTGGAGCAAATTTCACGATATCTAAGGGCACAAAACTACACGCAGCGTAGATAAAAGTCTGAGCGGCTCACATTTTTCGGCAAATTGAACTGTCATATTATGTTGAACACTATTTTCTAATTCGGGGTAACCATGATGAATTGCACACTCACCACAAAAACACGGAAAGGTGGTTGTTCGTGTAAGTTCATACCAATTAGGTGCTAGTGCCGAAAACTCCGTAGATTCCGTAACCTCACTTTCATTTGCTGGATGCGGCACGGCGCCAGTACTTTGAAGTATCAACATCCGTTTGAGTTCCCTGGCCTTGAAATTCCAAGTTGTTGATCCGTTCGGAAACAGTAGAGTAACCTGCGTGAGAACCAGTGAGCGATAATCAGGAAGTGTGGTGATTGTAATATGGAGCCTTATGGGGCTCCAAGGATACTTCAGCGGGATAGTGTAGAACAATCTGACTTTAAGTCAGTTCCACCTAAGGGGAATGCCTTGAGCCAGCGCGGCTTCTCTCCTTGTATTCTATACATTATCAGCCTTTGAAACAGCGAATATTGTGTAACTTAATCGACAGCATGACAGAATTTGACAAACACAGTCTCCATATTGGGTCCTCTATCTTTGGCTAATGTCAGTCTGTTCGTGTACGTGACATACGTACACAAACAAGGATGGTTCAGAGGGGATTTGTTTAGCACCAAAGCCACTACGTTGCCTACAATAGGATGACTTCGAATGGTCCACCGCGGAACGCATTTTGTCATTTTGCGCAGCAAGAAAACAAGGCCAGTATGCCCGTGGATGTCGGGTGATGAAGGATTGGCAGTTTTTTCTAATTTGGCGGGCGACTGTTGTCGTCCATGAAGAAGGAGGAGCGCTTTTAAAGGAAAAACGAAGTAGTACATGGAAACACCATTTAACGTTAGTAACTTTCCTTTCTCAGCCCCAAAGCTATGGATGGTTCCTATCTTGAAATAGGTTAAGAACCATTTCCCGCGAATGAAGTAGCTTTGGCTGGACTCAAGCACAGATATGGTCACTGTATCATCCGTTATTTTGACAATGAAATTCCCCACGTTTATTATGCCCCCATTTGTAACCCCCGCCCCATTTTTGTGTTTAGTGTGTATATATGAACTGACGTTTGTTTGCCCTTACCACTTCACCCATTTGGCCTTGAGGTCATCCGGCCATTTGTATCTGACTTTGCACGTGTGACTGTCGCACGTTGGAGCCTGTTTGCTCCCTTGCTTTGCACTTTTGAAGTCCAAGCGGACTGTTTGTTTTGGACGCGTATCTACTGTCGAGGTTTGTACAAATTGTGAATTTCTCTTACCCTAATAGTACCATATAGAAACCCAGCTCCGACTTTGTTTTGCCTACCCGGAGGTTCTGGTATTACGCGTCACTCGAAGATACCGTTCGACCGTTGCAGTACTCGACAGTACTCGACTGACGGAAGACGATGTGGGAATCCTTATTGGTTGCGACGTATCCGAAGCGCACTGGGTCTTCGACCAGCGTCTGGGGGGTAAAAAACAGCCGTTTGCTGTGAAAACTTTACTAGGTTGGATGCTCCTTGGTCCGATGAAAAACGGAACGAAGCAGAAGGTCGTCAGTCATTGTATAACCGGGTGTAGTCAGGGCATCCAGGAGCATTTGCAGCGACTGTACAACTCGGAATTCGCAGACACTTCAGCATCGAACACTAGTCTCTCTTTAGAGGATCAAAGAGCACTGTTGATAGCGGAGACTAGTGCAGTGCGAGTAAGTGGGCATTATCAGCTACCGCTCCCATGGAAAGATAACGCACTTACCCTACCCGATAACTTCCAGGTGGCTAGAAAACGTCTAGGTAATCTGAAAACTAGACTGTGCAAGGATCGTGTTTTACACGGAAAGTACGATAAGGTGCTTCGCGCATACATGGAGAAAAGATACATTGAACGGGTGGCGGATGCCTCCACATTGTCATTAAATTCAAAGCAGTGGTATCTCCCACATCATCAGGTTATTAACCCAAAAAAGCCAGATAAGATTCGGATCGTATCTGACTGCGCTGCCAAATGTCATGGTGTGTCCCTAAACGACCACCTGTATCAGGGCCCCGATTTAACCACAAAACTTGTAAATGTTATGGTGGGCTTTCGTTTAGAGCAAGTTGCTGTGGCAGCCGACATTAAAGGGATGTTGCTACAGGTCAAGGTTGACCCCTGTGATAGAGACGCTCTGAAGAGCCTTGTAGCACAGGCTAACCGACGGGAGGGAAATGATGTCATGTGCCCATTAATGTCTTGGTCCTCCTGTTGGATGAAGCTACCGAAGGTCGTGGCTTGGTTACTGCATTACAGGCAACGTCTATTGATTAAGAAGGGCAGAGCGAGAAAGGAGGCTTTACCTTCCGGTGTTATCAGAGTATCCGAACTCCGCCAAGCACGTAATTGTTTGATAAAGATGGTGCAATCTGCTCACTTTGCACGAGAGCTGCATCAGATTAACGCTCCTGTACTGGATGCAAAGCGTTCCCGCAATCGGACTCAAAACGGCAGCTTACAAAAATTGTCACCTGTTTCGGAGATGGCTGGCAACCTGTCGACAGATTCATTCCTACAATGTTTGATGCGCTTCGTTGGTAGACGTGGTAAGCCCACCGATATATACAGTGATAATGGTACGAAATTTGTTGGCGCACTGAGGGAATTTCGGGATGATATAAAGCTCTGGAGCCTGAGCAAAATATCAGACCGACTTTTGACTATGGATATACAGTGGCACTTCAATCTACCAGCAACTAGCCATCGTGACGGTGTGTGGGAGCGTATAATCAGGTCGGTACGACGTATACTTTTATGTATATGTAGGGAACAGTGTTTGACCGATGAACAACTGAACACGCTTCTCATACAGGCCGAACGGATTCTCAATAACAGACCTGTAGTCCCGCTATCATCAGACAGCAACGATTTGGAGCCGCTTACTCCAAACAGTTTGTTGCTGATGCAGTGCTGTCCTGCGGTACCCGGTCGCGACGGCTTGGCTTCGCGATACCATGCCGGTTGGAAACAGGTCAATTATCTTGCTGGCGTATTCTGGCGTCGTTGGATAAGGGAATATCTGCCAACGTTGCAGATGCGTACCAAGTGGCTCAGAGCAACTCAAGAATTGAAACGAGGGGACTTAGTTCTGGTTTCTGGTGAGGACCTGCCTCGTGAGAAATGGCCTCTAGGGGTAGTAGATAGTTGTGAGGCGAGCCCTGATGGCTTAGTTAGAACCCTGCATGTTAGAACGGCGGGCGGCGTTCTTAAGAGAGAAAGGTGTGTTTACTGGAGGGACGCGAATAGGCTTGTACACCATCGAAGTCGGCACTTGTGGCAGGAGTGGACTCGGACCATTCGTGTCGGTGGCTGATGGGGTACCGTAGATTGGAGCTGAGCGTAGGTAGTAGGCAAGAACCGGGGCGCCCGCTGTATCAACGTGGAGAATTTGGCGGGCGGTGTATCATCCGTTATGTTGACAATGAAATTCCCCACGTTTATTATGCCCCCATTTGTAACCCCCGCCCCATTTTTGTGTTTAGTGTGTATATATGAACTGACGTTTGTTTGTCCTTACCACTTCACCCATTTGGCCTTGAGGTCATCCGGCCATTTGTATCTGACTTTGCACGTGTGACTGTCGCACGTTGGAGCCTGTTTGCTCCCTTGCTTTGCACTTTTGAAGTCCAAGCGGACTGTTTGTTTTGGACGCGTATCTACTGTCGAGGTTTGTACAAATTGTGAATTTCTCTTACCCTAATAGTACCGTATAGAAACCCAGCTCCGACTTTGTTTTGCCTACCCGGAGGTTCTGGTATTACGCGTCACTCGAAGATACCGTTCGACCGTTACAGTCACTTTGAAGGTTCGGTAGTCTCTTTCGGTTCAATACTTTATGGTTGTCGGGTTCTGCGTAACCGGCTCTCAAGAAGTGGTTTGATAATTTTCCTTTGTTTTTACCAACAATTTTGAGTGCCGTAACAAGTTTTCATGTGTTTAGTCGGCGACCTCTCATTGGCAGTGATTCCGCATCTCACAAAATTCTTGCTTGACTTCAGTTTTCCCTGCATTTATCCCTGTCATCATTGATTTGGATCTCATTTAGCGGAGATGGCAAATTATCCCAAGCAGTTTTTGCTAGCTTGACTGGGCGCTGAATTCTTTAGGACTGCACTGCATCAGCTTTATTAATTTTCTTGTGAAGGTCGTGTACGTCTTCTCCGTTCGGGCTGGTTTCAAGCAAGACTGCTTGAAGAAAATATGCATTCTCGTCAGGACGGAGTGCTAGACTTTTCAAATACATTTTTAAAAGAGGTCGTTTTGGCTTACGACTGAGGAGAGGCTTACGTAGCGCAACGCTTCCCGTGCTATTCGTCCCACATTCTTTGCACTTTTCCCTGGGCTAGCTGCACCGCGCAGTGAGCTCATTTTTTAAACTTACCGCTTTGCCACACGTTCTAGACTTTTATCTTATTTCTTTTCACCTTCTGCTTTGAACTGCCAAATTTTATAATTTCACTTGACTTCCATAAGTGCTTGTTCACTTTGTAATGTGAGACAATTATGTATCTAGTTACTTTGCACCTTATCGCTGGTCTTAGATTCCGGGTACTTTCTCGTCCTCATCCCAAACTCTACATATACATTCTTATTTAGCTCCACTGCACGAGTTTCTTAGAAGTCTGCCTTTTTGCACCCCTTTTGTGCCTTACCACACCCCCTTACATGTTGAACGTAACTTCACAAAAGGCTGCTGGTTGTGCAGCTCTTCACATGAACTAGCTGCACATTCGCCATCTGTTGAACCACAATTTTTATTTCGATTACACAATTGCTCGTTCCTTTACATAAACTCATGGGCAAACTCAACAGGATCAGGCTTAAGCGATGCATCATCAAAGTGAAACGCTTTCATGTATGATCACCTATCCTCATTCTTCACTGTCCCTGACAGATCGATGATGCTCGCTTTTAAGCCAGGGAAGTATAATGATAAGGATGATATGTTTTCGACGGATTTTCAGCAACCTTATGAATAGTACATTAGAAGGATGATAGGCTTGTTTTCCAAATGCAGTGTTTGAGAATCGTAATAACTCATAACTGCCTTCAACTTCGATCCACAATCCGATTGCCAAGTCTGGCGAGATTTGGCAGGCCTCTTTTGTTCCTTTCCCAATTCGGGTCCCAAAATCGGTGTGGCTGTCTTGATGCCTTATAGGAATGAAGGCCAAAAACTATGCTGCATGTTTTACGGATTCTATAATATTGTTGCCTCCCACTGGTTCTTTTCCGTCACAGTCACTTGGCCAATACAGGCCACGCCAAAATCCTCAACGGATGGGCCAAAAAACCCATGTGTCCACGGCCCAGATACAGAGTCGTATTGCTGGCAGTTGAATTGGTCAGCCGGTAAAAAATATATCTCCGCAGTTTCTCAACTAGGTGTGTTACTTGAGCAAACAGAATTATCTTAACTGAGCGTGGTTATTCCGAAACGTCTGCTTCCGACTATCCTTTGGTACTGTAGGCTTGCTGTGCCCATCAGCCTACTTATTCTTCCATGGCGACTATCTGGCCGTATGCAATGCTAACAAGTTTCCGTCACCAATGACCCTGGGTAGCAAGTCTTCACCCTGTCCAAAACCAGTGGGTTCACCAATTTTGGTTTAACACGTCCCTGTGGCTGCAACCCAGTACCTCGTACTCGACATCCTCAGTTTGCTATTAGAGGCTCGAGTCAGTACCTGAGAGGTTTTCACCTTTCCCTTCACCTATATGCTTCACTGTTCAGCTAACAGTCGCTCAACTGATCACGAGATTTGCCTTTTTCCTACACTTACAAACCACGTCACAAAAAGGCTACCATAACCAATGCACTAAAGAGCTCAAAATCGTGTTATCGTTGGGCAATTGCCAATTCTATTTCAAAAGTGTAATTTTTTTACAAAATTCCCGAAACCATGTCACTTTTGTCATCACACGGTCCTGATTCTACCAGTTTGAATTCCCGTTATACCCATCCTATGCCACTTGTGTCTTGCCATCCACTAATTCGGCTTTCTCTATGGCGTGCAGATTTGGGTGGCATGGTATTTCTGTTGAGCAATTTTGAGTAATTGATCTACTTTCATGCGTTTTGGGTAACTGCAAATCACTCATATGCCTATGTTATTACATTATTATTATTACTATATTATTATTCGCTGATCGAATTAAGGTGCCGACAAATGTAACGGTTCTTTTGTTTCCTTATCCCGGTAAGGTTTGTGTATGGAGAGGTTTGCATTTGGTTTCCATAGGAATGGCACTGGAAAGATATTTCGTTGATTTTATTGGTAGCCGTTTTAGAACTGGACCACAGATACTGTAGTGATCCTTCACGTTTTCCTTTACCTCTGACGACATAGCATTTTTGACTGCATTACCGGGGGAGAAGTTCACTCCTTTGACACCTGTATGGAAGGTGCAAGGTAATCGTTTATATTATTTTTTGTTTTTTTTTGTTTTTTATATCCTCCGTGGAATCCTAAAAACGTAGCAGTATTCATTGAGTTTTTCCATCGGGGAGGAAAAATTGCACTTTTTTCGACTTACATAGAGATTTGGATTCATTATTGGCTGGTGTCTTGGAATACCTGAAGAAATTGCGATGCCCACTGCTTACATTGACGTACACAGCTGTTGGTGCCTTCATTATATTTGAGACTATACTGCATCAAAGCCCACATCCTCAATCACACAAAAACAACACGCACACACCTACTGTTCCCAGGAATGGACACACAATGATATATATATATATATATATGTACAAGAGATTCCCAACCCTACACTACAAGCATACAAAACCAGTGCCCAAATTTTTTCATCATGCACCACTTGTCAATTAAGGATGATAGCCGTGTTTCGAGGATTAGCGGCCACTTCTCTTATATTGAATTATCTCGCATATGCTGTCATCCAACTCACGTAAAAATTCAGATAAACTAGTCCATCATCTCGACAGTCTTATAGGTTTGATTTTCCTAATTCACTATCCTCCGGTGTGCTTATACCAGTTTGCTGTAGACCACTTGTAATTTATAATCATGTGTGAGCAAACGCAACCCCTGCTTCGTCACCAGTCTAGTAAGCACATAATAATTCCGATTCTGTCCCATCTAATCACCTGTTATCAACCCCCTAATTGTGCGAACGTTAAGTTGTTCCCTCCCTAATATTATCTAATATTATCCTATCTGATATCTCAAACTCGTCAAGCTTTACTGATCTCATCCCTTTCCCTCGTCCTCTCGATGTTTGACCATCGGCAGTACCCGATTTGGCCGCCGTGTTTGACTGTCATCCGCCTCACTTGGCCTGTGACCTGCGTTCACAGAGGTCCTCAATCGGACAAAAATACCTGCGATCTTACAACGGCTTCGTTCCACCTCCGCGGATTTTCTCGGTCAACCTAGAAAAATATTGCTTATAGAATTGCACCTCCCAGCACAATACCCTAAATATAACGTCTGGCATGGGGCTGCCCAAAAAGCGGAGCATGTCAACCCAATGAGTCTACGGCACTTCAACTATACTCCCCTTATTCTTGACAGTGTCATCTCTCAACCATGTTCAATAAACACCTTGCCCCAGCTGTCTTCAGAACTTGTTCACTCAAATTTGCCTTTTGTTGAAATCTGGCCATTTTAGTAGACCTCTGGTCTGCGCGCTTCAGAAAGTCGATGATTTTCTGCGCAGTTCGCTTTCTGGCTCGTGAGTTTTCACCAAACCACTCTACCAAGGGACTCTTGCACCCGACTTCACCGTAACAAAAGTGCACCTCTACAGTTTGACCGCAGACCAGTTGTCTGCATTTCTAATTTCCACACTTCATCCGCACTAAAGCTTCTCGTGAACTTAGCCATAAGCCAAAGGTTCAAGGATACGAGGCCTCATTGGCCCACGCCGGAACAACACAAATGATTTTGTTTAGGTGAGCGAAATTTCAAGGTCATGAACCATCACCGATTTGCATTTAGTTACCGGTTTACGAGAGGTAAATCCCCAAATAGCACTTTACCATGTTTTGGTGTTCTGTGGCAGTAAAAAAAACGTCTATTGAATATCCAGTGCTAATTGTACACTGGGAGATCGGTCATTGCAGTTTGTTTGCTTTTACACGCCTTAGATTTAACAAACGAGATATTTTTGTGCTGCGAATTTCGTCACAACACTTTTTCTCATGGAGATCAGCTTCCATTATGTACAAACGTGTCAGAAGACAGCATGAATTGTGCCGTGGATGTGCTGGGGCCACCTCTGCGGATGCTTGCATTTTCCATGTATGCAGAGCTAGCCTGTGGACAACATAGCATCGGGGGTACGTGCCAGTGAATTATTGCCAAGGTAGTACCACTTCTATTAGCAATTACTCATCGTAGACTGAATGCGTCATAAAGCAGTCATCATGATAACGGCAGCCGTTGTCACCCAACTCGGCTACTTTTGGCGACTGCCGGGCACGTGACGCTGACTATGAGGCCACACCTATACATGGCAACATGATCTAACGGCCAACGGCGACCCGTCAGAATAACGATAATACTGTTAATTTTGACTTGTGGGTGGCACACCGTCAGGTATGATCATAATGTTACAGTCAGAATAAAAGCATGACTGGCCGGGATTGTGAGCAAAGGCGATTAAAAAGGGACAGCGTCATGGAAGGTGGGTATTATCCGGTGTAGGCGTGACCAACAAACCTGCTCGGGCAGAGAGGCGCAGTCACTATTTCCTGTTGGATAGAATATCGTGCAAGATCGGGTCGTTAGGATTTGAAGGTGGATGGCAAAAAACAAAGTGAGGGAGGACGCAACAAGAGGCTCCCTGCCTGATGCATGATAAGAAAAGTGTAACGGCAAAAAAGGAGGAACGGAAACATCAGATCGGGTGAAGCAGCGGAGTTGGCGTCATCCAGCCAGTCATACTGAAGGAGGCTTGTAGCCAGGGCCACAAAAAGCATTAGTGGGGATGATGAAGTGGAGGGATTACCAAAGCGGATAAAGGTAACACGAATCACAAAAAACATGGTGTACAGCAAAACTAAAAGACTCACCGGTGTTGCTATTGTGGAGTCGCGCATAAAAGTTCTTTGAAAAGGTGAGATGATGGCAACACACGAGCCGGAACGCGAACTCTGCAGAGTTATTGAATTTTGCAGGAAGTACAGGCACAAAAAGCACGGACACAAATAAAGGATTAAATTCGAACTGAAAGTTTAGCAGTTTGGAATGAATACGTCACGGAGGCAGCTGGGGTCAGGTGGGGAGCTTGTTTGTATTTGCAGTTAAGGGAACGAGTATGCGAGAGGTTGCGGTCAAGAGAAGCAATGGAATAGTTGCGAGTGTGCTACCAAACTGAGCGTGACAGTGCCGTGCCATCACTGGCCTGACATACTTCGGTTTTTGGACAGCCTCCTAACGAACGTCACATTTAATGTAATTGGACTGGGATGGGCGATTCTTTGAGCAGCTGAATTATTTTCCATCTGACCGAGGAAGCAAGGTGGAACAAAGCCGATATAGAACCGCAGGTGTTTTGATCCCACTAGGGATCCTGTGGTTGTAAATCACAGGCCCGGTGGACTGGATAACAGGCAAACAGATCGTCCGGAATTGGATGTGGTTAGTAAAGCATGCTGGGTCTGAAGAGACATCAAATGTGATAGTGGACATTAATACACATAGAAAGAAATACTTGACGTCTTCTGCGATCAAGGTGATGACAACAAGTGATTATATGGGAAAAGGATATGGATATATATGTACTTAGTGGTTTAGCGATCAAGGGTTTGGTTAGCTAACATGCGGTATTAAAATAAAAGCGGTCCGATAAAAGCCGATATAAGCACGCAGAGTGGCGGTGGGGTTGAGGAAACCGGATGTATAAAGGCGGACAGGAGTGAAACTCCGAGATGGTGGATTAGTTGATTTGGGAATTGTTACATGAGTTGATCAGTACCAGGAGGGAAAGCAAGTGCAAGTGAAACGGTCACCAGTCCCCGAAGTGCTGCCATCAGCTTCAAGTTAAAAAGTGGTGAATGGCGAAAAGCTTTTGGTGGGTCTGAAGAGACATCAAATGTGATAGTGGACATTAATACACATAGAAAGAAATACTTGACGTCTTCTGCGATCAAGGTGATGACAACAAGTGATTATATGGGAAAAGGATATGGATATATATGTACTTAGTGGTTTAGCGATCAAGGGTTTGGTTAGCTAACATGCGGTATTAAAATAAAAGCGGTCCGATAAAAGCCGATATAAGCACGCAGAGTGGCGGTGGGGTTGAGGAAACCGGATGTATAAAGGCGGACAGGAGTGAAACTCCGAGATGGGGGATTAGTTGATTTGGGAATTGTTACATGAGTTGATCAGTACCAGGAGGGAAAGCAAGTGCAAGTGAAACGGTCACCAGTCCCCGAAGTGCTGCCATCAGCTTCAAGTTAAAAAGTGGTGAATGGCGAATAAAAAGCTTTTGGGCACTAGTTTCGAATATTGGTATCGGAGGTTTAAGAACCTCTGTATAACTATGTTTCTCATTGTGTATGTTCACTCCTGGGGCAGGATGTAGGTGCGTGTGTTCGTTTGGTCGGCTAAGTAAGCTTTTGTGCGGTACAACCACAATTAAGACAAAGATAGCTGCAGTTCCGCATGTTGATGTAAGCAATAAGCATCATGGAGTCTCCAGGCTATTCCGTCTGTTTGTTTATGAATTTCTTTTTTTAACGGACCGGAGGCCAGTTTTTCATTTTTCAATTCTTTCATCGTCTGTTAAATGACCCAACCAGGACGAGCCCAGCCGAGCAGAACAAATAGGGTACAACGGTGCCCTATTACTGATCACCTGAATTAAAGGCAATGCCACGAACCACAGGAGATCGGAAAAGCACCCGAGCTAATAAAACGGTGACTCGCATAAAATTCCGAATAATCTATCGGGTCTACGTCAGAATGCTCCTTGAACACTCTCCTTGACTCTACAGGATGCGCCAAAGACCTCATCTTCATTGAGCGTTCCCAGCGGGCCGCTGCTAAAATGGTTGCCGGGCTCAAATCCTTGGACTACGAAACGCGTCGCGCGGTACTTGACATCTTTCCCCTGAAGTATCGTCGCCCAAGGGGAGATCTAATTTCTACCATTCATCTAATTTCACCACTGACTCAACAAACATACGGCGGGGACATGGTAAGATTTTCAAGCCCAGAGATAATATGTTCATCAGGCAAAAATCTTTCTCATTTCGCGCAGCAGCTACGTGGAACGGCCTCCCTCCGACAGTTGTCCACGCTAATTATAAAACCCACTTCAGAGCACCATCAGGCACTTATTTACGGGAATCCTCGCGCTGGCAAACATACTGCCTGCACTGAGAACATAAAGGAGGGACACGCCCTTTTTCACTTGTGTCCTTCAGGTGAACGGCAGCCGCTGAGTGACAAGAACAAAATCGGTCCGGGAATCTGGGACAAATGCCTTGATCATGTGTATCTATCCGTAAATCCGTGAATACACTTTAGAATAGGTATCGTGTAATTTCACTGTTATGCGAAGGTTTCTTTGCTTCAAAATACCTTTTCGGAAAAAAATTATGACCGTGGGTATAAGTTTTCGGGGCTGTTCATTTTGCTACCGATCCGATACCTATCGGCCTGTGGGTTGGGAATCCCTGGACCCAAAGTATTTTACTCCAGTGGAAGAATTATATAGGACCACTGTCCAAAACGTTCCCGAGGCTGACGCGACGTTCGTCCCAAAAAACCAGCACGCACTCGGATGAACCGCAGGCTGCAAAAAGGATTCGTCGAATTCTGGAAAAAAGATCCCAGCTATTTTTCAAAAAGTTGACTACAGGGGATACAGAAGATGAGCTGGCATTTCGTAAAATGCGGAACCGCTCTAAATCAGAAATTTGCAATTGGAACACACGAAAACAAGCCACCATTCTGGACCTCGCTCGAAAAAACAAACCGTCCTGTTCAAATACATGAGACCGCACTACAGAAACAAGCCATCCGCGTTCTCCTTGAGAGACAGAAACGGAGAACCGACGAATGACCCAACAGTGGTATCTGGGGTTTACAGAGAACACTATGCGTGTCTATACTCAGCCCCAGCGTCTTCGTCACATCCACCATTGTCAAGGCGGAACTACGAACAGCCTCTAACCGACTTGGTCTTCACGGTGGAGGACATTCATCAACTCTTGCACAAGATCAACCCATTCTGCGCGTCGGGGCCCGACGGGGTCCATCCAAGGATCCTGAAAGAAACGTCCTCCACACCGACAAATAATCTACACCTAGTGTTTCACCAGTCGCTTGACGAAGGCCGCCTTCCCTCTGCTTGGAATGAAGCGATTGACACGCCAATCTACAAAACTGGTGACTGAATGTCGCCTGGCAGCTACAGACCTATAAGCCTCACTAGCGTGCCGTGCAAGGTGATGGAACGCATTCTGAAGCGAGCCATCCTAGATCACCTTACTTCCAGCAATCTGATATCTCCAGCTCAACACGGATTTCTCCCAAACCGTTCTTGCGTGACAAACATGCTCGTGTTTATGGACAGCTTAACCCAAGCCAAGGACGAAGGACTCATATCGGATGCCATATTTTTCGACTTCTCAAAAGCATTTGATAGGGTCCCACACGTCCCGCTGCTCCACAAACTCGAGTCTTACGGGATTCAAGGGAAAATCCTTCGCTGGATCAAGGCGTTCCTATCAGACAGGTCATTCCGAGTGAGAATAGGCTCAACCTATTCCTCTCCAGCGCCGGTCTCCATTGGAGTTCCTCAAGGCTCCGTCTTGGGACCACTCCTGTTTCTGATCTACTTCAACGACCTCCCAGACGTTCTTGGGAGTCCATGTTTACTTTTTGCGGACGACTTGAAATCCTGTTGTTCCAATGCCAGCGCCCTCCAAATGGATGTAGACGCTGCCAAGCAGTGGTCGTTGGACTGGCACCTTCCTCTGAATGATGAAAAGTGCGTCCATGTGTCGTTTGGAGGGGATTCAGCGAATGCCTTTGTTATGCATGGTGAAAAGGGACCAGAAAACATCATGAGGATAGATGCCAAAAAAGATTTAGGCATCTGGGTCTCCTCAAACTTGTCCTTCGCATTAAACCATGAGAAATCGGCCCAAAAGGCATTCGCCATTTTACGGATGATCCGACGTACCTTCTCCCGTATTACTCGCATAGACTTCCAAATACTCTATGGGGCCTACGTCAGACCGCTCCTGGAGTACGCCTATCAAGTTGTCTACTCAGGACGTACGAAGGACGTTACCCTCATTGAGCGTGTCCAGCGGGCCGCCACGAGAATGGTTGCCGGCCTCAAGTCCGTGGACTACGAAACGCGTCTCGCGATGCTTGATCTCTTTCCCCTGGAGTACCGTTGCCTCCGAGGGTACCTAATTCTTACCTACGCCCTGTTTGATCAAAGCTTGGCAAACAGGTTTTTTACCGTTGACCCAGCAAACACCCGGCGGGGACATAGTAAGAAAATCTTCAAGCTCAGGGCACACACATTCATTAAACAAAACTTTTTTTCATTTCGGGTAGTAGCTGCGTGGAATGACCTTCCTCCGACGGTTGTACACGCTCCTTCTCGAACCCAATTTAAAGCACTATTAGACATTTATTTATGCGAGTCCTCGCGCTGGCGAGCATACTGCCCCGCGCTGAGAACATAAAGAGCAGTGCTACACCCTTTTTTCACTTGTGCCTTGCAGGTGAACGACAGCCACTGACCGACAAGAACAAAAGCGACCCGGGAAACTTGGGCAAAAGCCTCGATCCTGTGTATCAATCCGTGAATCCGTGAATGCGAATCCTCGCGCTGGCGAGCATGCTGCCCCGCGCTGAGAACATAAATAACAGTGCTAGGCCCTTTTTTCACTTGCGCCTTTCAGGTGAATGACAGCCACTGACCGATGAGAACAAAAGCGACCCGGGAAACTTGGGCAATAGCCCCGATCCTGTGTATCAATCCGTGAATCCGTGATTCCGTTTGACCAATCAGCTGCTATTGAGCCAGGTGCTAACTACGCAGAGTAGATCATATTTCGGCGTCCTTCCATCACGCGCAAAACTGAGTGATCAGCGGTTGGATCTAGTCAGTAAAACGATGGTTCGCGATTCAAAGCCATAGAAATTCCGAGCCACGAAGATTTTTGGTGGGTCCTCCCAGTTCTTCTAGAGGCCGCCTGAGTGGAAGAATCGTCCTCGATTGAAGGTTATACATATCTCTGAGTGCCAAAAGGTACTTATCGGCCAAAACACGGATTCTTTTTGCCTGCGGTCTTTCGCCTTTTCGGGATTCTGACCACCTGTGTCTCAGAGTAACAGCTAGAATCGGTTGGAACCAGCAAATTCGGAATGAGGTGATTAGAAAACGAGTCTTTGGTATTTCGCCTGAAGAGCACATTCGTCACTGTAAGTTAAGGCGACTTAGTCATGTGTTACGCTGAGTTACCGCCTGTCGGTAAGAGTGTTATTTTGCGAGTCCACTTTGAAGTGCGGGAGAAACAGCTCAGTGGTTGGAGTGCGAATTTTCTGAGCAGAAATTACGGGGCTCGAGCCCGATCTCTGCATCTCGAATCCCTCTATCTAGGTTCGGGAAACCTAGCATGGCCCCAGCTCTCATAATTCCTTCGGGTGGATTGGCAGCTAGGTGCCGGAACGATGCTACAGCTGAACGTTTTCTCCTAATTTGGAGCGGTGAAAGCCCAGAAGTGGACAGAGAAATAAAGGATGCTGCAAAAAGTTTGGGTGTTATCGATTTTTAACTTCAACGATTAAGCCCACGCGACTCTCCCTGTGCTTGGCTGGAGACAGTGAACTTTCGGTCGCTAAATAATGCCAGTATCATTTATGCTGTCAATTTCCATAGAGACTATCTTGTGTAGTAGTATAGTAGTGTATATGTATGTAGATGGTTTAAGGTTTCATCCCTGTTGCCTGAATTGGTGCAAATCCCTCTCTAAGGTGGCGTGTTTTTCTATCTTGTTCTGTTCTATCGTGGAGATATTACACAGACTAGCCACTTCTGCGCAATTAGTACATACAGTGTGTCGTGTGCATGGGGGATTAAAATGTGGCTGGGGTAGTGATCACTCCAAACGGCGTGTTTTGAAACTCATAAGCCTGAATGCATCACAAGTGCAAACTCTCAGCCTTCATTAGGCGAGATGGCCCAAGTGGTTAGAGCGCGAATTTACTGACCGGAAGGTCCGTGGTTCGAACCCGACCTCTGCCTCTCAACTTCCCCTATCTAGGCTTGGGCAACCTGGCAGTATCCCAGCCCTCGTGCCTTCTTCTTTGTGGCATGGCAGCTAGGCACCGAAAGAGTGCTACAGCTGAATGATTTATTTATTTATTATTTTTCATTAGGAGGTTTACTTGGTGGAACCTTGAGGCTAAGTGTTCTGAACCAAGCTTCACTCCCCAAGACACCAAAGATAAGCAACATTGTGTGGTGAAAAGTGATCATTCTGAATAAAGGTATTCAACTTGCGGTCATGTCTCTTCCCCAAAGCTACGGGTCAAGCCCAGAGTGATGCACAGGGTCCGGTGATGTCCTTGCTTATTTGAGCCAACAGATTTTTGCACTGGACTGGAATTAGCCACGGTAGTAAACGGACAGTGTTGTTGGACTCGTTTTACCCGATCAACATCTGAATCCTTCGGGTGGCATACGAGCTAGGTACCGAAAGGGTGCTGCAGGTAAGTGATAATCTCTATTTATTTACCTTTATCCGAATCCTTTCGGGTAAAGATGTCGATGTACTCCGAGAGAACTCCTATTCTTGATTTCACCGGAGAACTCACTGTGGACACCAACCCTGTTAGCAATATGGCCAGGTAACGTTAACCTGCCAAAATTCCAGTATGCTCTATCTATACATCTGGGAAAAGGTGCAATTTCAACTCATCTTTGAGAATTACTGCGGCCCAGGTATGGGTTGCCTGCATTCCATGATGCTGTCTTTGATAGACTAGCTAGTTGGGTCAATGACGATTTCCTCCCAGCATTTTTGCATGATGCTATCAATCCGGAAATGTGAAAACACTGTACAGTAACTTCTATCTGCAAAAACAGTTGGTCGGTTTAAAGGCTGATCAGTCAACCTGATCCACATGTTATTGAGAGTATTGGAGTCCGTTGCTGCAGATTAAATGGTTTTACGTGGATGGAAGGACGCCACCCCACAGGCAACATAGCTTGAGACGTCACAGATCCTTTCCCGTGAACTCATTGCTTTGCCGAGACTTATGGACGACACCGGTTGACTAAAGGCCTCGGGGTAGGTGTGACCTTCACAGGTTTTCTTGAGACATTCAGTCTCAGTTGACGAAACTATCAGGGAAAATTTGCTACGACTGCCTAAATTCATGTGACCGTTCAGCTGTAACACCCTTTCGGTGCCTAGCTGCCACGCCACCTGAAGGAAGCACGAGGACTAGGGTGATGCCAGGCTGCCCAAGCCTAGACAAGGGAAGTTGAGAGGCAGAGGTCGGGTTCGAACCACGGACCTTCCGGTCAGTAAGTTCGCGCTCTAACCACTGAGCCATCCCGCCGTTGTATTGGCTACATCGAAAGGGTCTGTTGATGCCTCAAGACGACAGCTGCTGTCGAACACGGTTTCGCCTTTTGTTTCCTAAGTTTTCTGGCATTCCGGAGTCCGTCATGTAAATTGCACAAGCAACCTCTTACTGTTCGTTGCCGTCACATTTTCTTTTATGCACCCAAACTGCCTTACCCGAATAATGTACACAATACGCTTGGAGTTGAAAACTTTGCTTTTGGATTGGTTTTATACATAATTCCACATCATATTAACATTTCTGTTGCATTTAGAGAAGGTTCCATGGCTAATATTGGTGAGACTATGTTGCTGTCGTTCATTAGGGTATTAGTGTGGTTCGACCCAATCTAAAGCTGTCACCCTAATGGAGTTATTGGGATTGAGTGTTACAATGATCTCGTGCTCCATACTGGCTGGAACGTCTTCCCACGGGGTGCAGGTGTGTCAGGATAGCCACAGGGGAGCGGTCAGACTGAAAATGTTAGACCCTGTAATACTACTATCATTTATGTTTGAAGAGCATGGTCACAAACATAAAAAGTGAGTGCAAGCGATGAATGCGAAAGAGTAACAGGAGAATATGGGAGAAAAGAGAGAAACGTCTCATTCGAAATCATGC